TGAGTATTATCTAGTTAATTTATTTTATATTATTCTTCATATGCAATTTTAAAATTCAAGTTGAATGGTTGACATGGAGGAATGCATCAAGATTGTTGTGTGATAGAAAAGTACCCTTCAAACATAAGGGAAAATTCTATAAGATGATCGGGAAACCTACAATATTTTATGGTGCCGAGTGTTAGCCATTAAGAGAGAAGGATAATACTAAGTTAAGTGTTGCAGAGATGAGGATCCTCAAGTGGATGAGTGGCTTTACCATTGAAGTTAGGAAACAAAATGAACATATATATGAAAAGGTTAGAGTAGCTCTAGTGGTAGATAAGATTAGAGAGAGTAGTCTCATATGATTTGGTCACATAAAATGGCGCCCTTTCGATGATCTGGTTAGGAAAGTAGAGGTATGGCTTATGTTAAGAAAGGTAGAGGTAGACTTAAAAAGACTTAGTTACAAAATATTAGAAATGATCTTTTTTTATTAGATTTAAATGAGAATTTGACTTTTAACAGGACATAATAAAGAAATATGATTCATGAAATCAACCCCACATATTGGGATAAAGGCTTGATGATGTTGTTGTTGTTATTGATATGCAACTTCAGGAACTAAATAATTACTTCTCAAAAACTAGAATTACCTTTTTTTATATGTCTAAATCCAATCAATTTGTTATCTACTTAAAAGAAGAAAAAGTTAATTCATCTTGCAGAGTTATATATAATATATTTTTGTATTGTTGATATTATGTCTCTTAAATATTAGCTATCTACTTATATTATTGATATGCATACATGTGATGAGTTCACATCTTTTACTAGAATTGATGCTCTTGCAAAATAGATTGTATCCCCTAATTTATAGACTTATTTTTTTTGCCACTGACTTTTACAATAACAACTATTACAATAGAGAGATCATTTTTTGCAATGAAGATTATCAAACATTGATTATGTAGCAAAATGGGTGATGTCTTGCTTAATAATTCTCTAGTATCATACATTGAGAAGGAAGTATTTGACTATGTTCCTAATGAAGTCATTATACAATATTATCAGAAAATACAAATTAGAATGCAGAGCTTGCAATTATTTTAAATTCATAAATTATAATGAAATATAAGACTTTACTTAGAAACTAGTTTTTAGTGTCACAACACTACTACTAAAATAGAATGAGCTATTAACTACTTCACTGGAGAGCTCATCAGAGACTAAACATAATGCATTTTCTATTGGTCATAAGCACACAAATTTTTTTTAATAACTTGTAAGTCATACAGATGGAGATGATACTTTCTATTTTGATAAGACTAAGAAAGGAGTCTGGACTATATATATATATATATATATGACTTCACCAATCATCATCACTGATATATCATCAACAAATTATCTTGATCGGGCACAAATCTCGAGGCAAAAATTAAGCCGGAAACTTCAAAAACTAATTTCGGGATCACCTGAACTCCGATTTTAGTAAATTTACAGTCAAACTGAGCGTTTTAGAAATACGACTCCAACGACACCAAATTTAACTCAATCCGAGCTCAAATGAGTTCAAATCAAGGACCCAAAGTGCTATTGGAAAGTTCATACCACAAATTGAGTTACCAAAAGATTTCTAAACATAACATGCTTATAGTCAAATCAAGCGGCTTGACGAGAAGAATCCAACGATCACTAAATTCCGACATAATTAAGACCTTCAAATGTCTGATAAATGGTTCATGATCAAAGGATTCAATATCGGCCGTCCATCCGAACCACTTCATATTTGCCTCTAATCTCTCATCTATTTATGGGCAATGCCACTCCAGAATATCTATAAATAGACCCCTCATTTCTCATGAGAGGGGGCCGAAGCAAGAAGAGAAGAAGAGAAGATTAGGAGGGAAGAAACTCCTCGACCACCGCCGCTGAATTCTGCCCGACTTCCGAACGACGTCGGAATTCCGCCCAACTTCCAAGTGACGTCGGAATTCTGCCCAACTTTCTAGTGATGCCAGAATTCTATCTAATCTCCAAGTGGCTGATCTAGAATTCTATATGACGCTGGAGTTTTGTCCGTCGCCAAAGTGACGCCAGAATTCTGCCCGACGGACCTCCGATCGTCGCCAGATTTCTACCTGACACCGAACTTCTGCCCGTTGTTGGATATTATTCGGACATCTATCAGATACTAGATTTCTATCAATTGCTGGACTTCTATCTGACATCGTCATTCTAACCTCTGTTGTTAAACAACGGTCCTTCCGACATCCGTTGCTCGCCGACTATGATTCTCCTAACTTATGTCGCCCACCGACTACAGTCCTTCTGACCTCTGTCGCCCGCCAACTATGGTCCTCTTGACTTACGTCGCTCACCGACTATAGTCCTTCCGATCTCCGTCGCCCGCCGACTACGGTCCTCCTAACTTACGTCGCCCACCGACTATAGTCCTTCCGACCTCCATCGCCCGCTGACTAAGGTCCTCCTGACTTACATCACCCACCGACTATAGTCCTTCCAACCTCCGTCGCCCGTCGACTAAGGTCCTCCTGAGTTACATCGCCCACCGACTACAGTCCTTCCAACCTCCGTCGCCCGCCGACTACAATCCTTCTGGCTTACGTCGCCCACCGACTACAGTCCTTCAAACCTCCGTCGTCCGCCGACTACATTCCTCCTGACTTACGTCGCCCACCGACTATAGTCCTTCCGACCTCCGTCACCCGCCGACTAGGATCCTCCTGATTTACGTTGCCCACCAAATACAGTCCTTTCGACCTCCATCGCTCGCCGACTACTGTCCTCCTAACTTGCGTCGCCCACCGACTACAGTCCTTCCGACCTCCGTCGCCCGCTGACTATGGTCCTCCTAACTTATGTCGCCCACCAACTACAGTCATTCCGACCTCTATCGCCCTTCGACTACGGTCCTCCTGACTTACGTCGCCCACCGACTATAGTCCTTCCGACCTCCGTCGCCCGTCGACTATGATCCTCCTAACTTACGTCGCCCACCGAATATAGTCCTTCCGACCTCCGTTGTCCACCGACTACGGTCCTCCTGACTTACATCGCCCACCGACTACAGTCCTTTCGATCTCCATCGTCCGCCGACTACGGTCCTCCTGACTTACGTCGCCCACTGACTACAGTCCTTCCGACCTCCATCTCCCACCGACTACAGTCCTCCTGACTTACGTCACCCATCGACTATAGTCCTTCTGACCTTCGTCGCCAGACAATGGTCTTTGTAACCTCCGTCACCCGCCGACTATGGTTCTTCTGACTTTTGTCACCAAACTATGGTCCTTCTGACCAAATGAACACGTCAACAGTGATTCTTTGTATTCCTACCATGTAATGTACTCCATATGATGTACATCAAGCTAAGGCCTTTCCTCAAGGAAGGGCCTCATTTGTAATCAACTGTAATACTAGTGGATTCATTCAAACTGGGCTAGGCATCGTGGTTTTTCCCCCTTTTCAAGGGTTTCCAAGTAAAAATCTAGTGTCTCATATGAATTTTATATCCTCTCTTATCTTATTGTGTGCCGAATTTTCATATAAAGTTAAGACGTTAAATATTATATTTCTCTACCGCCGCGAATACTCCATGACGCAACAATCACCAATAGTATCAATACAAGCCATAACATATAAGTTGATGCTCATCATCTACATCAACTTTGGCTGCATACAATAACACGAAGATTTTGTTAGGCTTATTGGTTCTTTGGTCTCCCCTCGTCGAAAGAGATTAAGAGAATAAATGAATAATAATAAATAGCCTCTTGAAAATAATTACCGCATCACATGACTCTTCCAACTTTTACTATGAAATCCATAATATATAATTTATGTCTACTGCATTGTACCAATATTTTCCTATTTGTGAAAATAATATTATTTGTAATCAATGATAAATAATAGTGTAATCATTCTAATTAAATCAAACCCCATAAATTTTTTTTAAGTTTTTCACAATAAAAATTTATGATGTCTAGCTCATAACCATCTCTCATGCCTATATATGTTGGGCCTTCATCTAGAATTAAGATTTTAAGTACTTCATGTTTATTATCATAAATGTTCTTGGGTGTAATAATAATAGAATGTATATTTAATACTTCATTAAATTGTTGATTTTTCAGTCCAGTCCTTTTCAACTTATTAATATCCAAAGGAAAGATTTATTTATTTAAAAATTGCCCCAACACACGGGTGAAAGCTAGGGGAAAAGATTGGAGAAGGCCAAAGGGAACACGAAACGCCTCTAGCTTGGCTTGGCTGGCCTCCATCCCACTATCCCAGCGAAAAATATCTCTGTGAATCGGTCTCAGATCTGCCGCTTATTCTTTCTTTCTCTCTTCTTTCTTTCCTTGTTCGGAATTTGGGTTTCTCCTCCTAAAATCTTCAACCCGTATAACTTCGCCACCCTGAAACCCTCGTTCCATTCATGCTGATTGCGCCGGATCTATTTCCACGGTTCCAGAATGCGGGATCCATGACGCGGGTTTTTTATTTATCGAACCATTTTATCCGTATGTATTATTGATTCCATCATTCGCCGTTTTTTTTATCGAATTTTGTGAGAATTATCGTGGACTATTTGCGATGTTTGGTACGTTGGTGTTCTGGGAGGGTTATGTCAGCGATGAGATGATGGGTACCTTTGCCCCGATCGTCATTTACTGGTTCTATTCCGGGATTTACCAGATCTTGCCACCCTTGGATCGGTTCCGGCTGCATACCAGAAAGGAGGAGGAGCAGAAGAATTTGGTGGCAATATCGACAGTCATCAAGGGCGTTCTTCTTCAGCAACTGGTTCAGGCCACAGTCGCCCGAATTTTGTTTTTGGTAAGTAGAGGCTACGCTATTTTAGTGACATCCACTGATTGAATGGAGAACATGAATTTGAAGACAAATTTTCATGCATACGTGTTCTTGATTTTTTTTTTTTCCTGGAGTATTTGGGATTATGTTCTTGATAAAAGTTTTAGCAGGTTTGCTAACTAGGATATTTGATTTCTTTTGTTGATGTTTCAGACTGCCAACCACAGCGCTCTTGATATTTATATTGGGTGGCTGCCATCACTGAGCTCAATTTGTTGGTTGGGTAGCTGTAAAAATGGTTGGGTAATTAGCAAAGGATATAAGCCATTAAAGTTATTAACTAGTTGTAAATGAAATAAAATTATGTTCATAATCAGGTTTATGAAAACTAGCCTTGCTCCTCCTTATGCAGAGAATAATACTCATATATGCTTTTGCAAAGATTTTTTTTTGTTTATGTTAAGAAATTCTAATCCGAAATAAGAGGTCTGATGGTACTGATAACATCTTTGCTAGGGAACCTGTGTGCTCCAATATAACGGCAACCCTGATTTCAGACACTTGGTTGATGTTGAGTGTTAATTGGTCGCTGGAATTGAATTGCTTTCCAACCTTGTTGGGTACTCATGGCTCCAGCCTCCAGTTAGATTAAGCAAGGATTGCGTTAGCATGAATGACTCATTTGCACTGAGAATTTTAGTTATTGCAGCTATTGCTTGTTTTTGAAATAGAGTACAAATTTATTAGCTATAGCTCTAGTCTAACTTATTTATCGTTTCTTTTGTAGGATCCCCCTCAGGGTGTAGGAGTTGAACTTATTTGTAATTTGGGTGCCTATTATTGCAACTTAAATAGAAAGATAATCAGGATGATTATTTAATTACATTATCAAATAGAAAAGTATCCTAGGACTTTGCATAAACATGCATGTGAAATCTTACCATTGAAATTGAACTCTTTAGTATCAAGTTAACTTTGAAAAGCAAGGTGGAACAGTTTTTTTTTTAAGAGCTTGAAATTACTCCTTGCATCTTGTCGCTGCAAATGACATTTCTAACTTAAATCAATGCATAAATGGAATTTTGTTCAACTTTATTTTTTTCTTGGATAAAAGTAACTAGCATTCCATTGTGTTATTATTGGTTTCTCAATAGATTTTAAACGAAGGAGTGCATACTTATATGCCTGGAATTGTTGGCATTGTTTCTCTATCTGCAATTTTAGCAATGGAATGCATTTAATCAAATGTTTAATGTACATTCTTAAGTTTGATGTTCCATTTATGACCAAAATTTTGCTGTGAATAATGGACATGAACTTGAAAATTTTTATTGTTTCAAGGTTGAATATTAATAATCATTAGTTAACTCTGGCCTGGTTGCTGGGAAGTTCATGTTTTTGTTCTAATGCATGTGAAAGGTGATATTAAATTTCTTCTCTCATTATTTTCCCCTTACACCTGAAGATATGATTAATGCTATGTAGTTTGTATCCTCAACCAAATTTTGATTTCTATGATATCAAATTGTTATCCAATCTAGTCCATCTTCAGATCTTGAAATACTTAAGAAGTGCTAGGAATTTAGACTGTACATGTTGTCGTCAATAGAAATCATTTTCTTATAAAAATTAACAAGCATTAAACCATGAAAATTGTTTTCTTATGGGATATTCCATGAATTCATTAGCAAGATTATGCTCATAGGGTATGTATGGAATGTCTGATATGCGTGAGACCATTAATTGTGTACTTGTGAGGATGATGGAATGGTGGATAGAAGTTTGATTACTTTATTTATTGTTTTTTTTAGGAGAAATACAATAGAAAAAACTCTTTATGTGTTGCATTTCACTTAAGGGTCTAGGGTTCCTAATTTAACAATGATGATTCAAGGAATGTTAATAACACAATAAATTTGGATTCACAAATCAAAGACTATCGCGTATACAAAACTCACTTTTCTTGTATGCAACTTTAAAATATGAGATTTGAATCAAAATGATTATGCAATGCTTGATTAAATTTGAAGAAATCAACTAGAAATTTGAACATGAAAAATTTGCATGTAATTGAAATTTCACATTGCAATTAGAGTCCCATTTATTGCCAATTCAATCAAAATTAGGATTCTTGCATTGTCAATATCAAACTAATAGCAATACAATAAGCTAAGAAAAGCAGTAATTAAAGCGAAGAAGATCCAACCTCATGTTTATGCAATGAGATAACTTCAAAATTTGATAGTCAATTTTGTACCTTTGGTTTAAAAGATGCCTGCGATGTTGTAGTATTTGATAGTCAATTTTGTACCTTTGGTTTAAAAGATGCCTGCGATGTTGTAGTGGAGGACTAACTATTATTGATCAATGCACTCTATTGGTTTGCAGAGATCAATGTGAGATAGATTAAGTATATCTATCCTTAAAATTTCTCCTACACGTAATGTAGCTCCAACAAAGTTTATTTTAATTTTGAGAGATGTGGTTTCCCAGAGGAGCAACGAGCATGTTCCTAAGGTTAGTTAAATCTGAAGCATGTTGAAAAGCACCACCGATTAATAAGTCAATGCTTGCGTTTAAATCGGGTAAGACCAGTATAAATATGGTAAGGTCAAAATCAGAATGAACCTTATGGGGCTCTATGGAGGATAAAGGGAGGAACATTATGATAACCAAGATAGGTTGACTCAAAAGTTATGAAATGGATGCAAAAGAGGGACTTATATCTTTGACATTAAATATAGGGATATGCTCAAAATTGGACCTATGATGCCATGTGGCGGCACCTGTTAAGGAGTAAAGGAGTGAATTGATGCAAGAAAGTAAAGAATAACCTTCTGATTGCAGATGGCACTTTGGTCAAGATCTCATGATTTTATTATCCAAAGTTCGTTAGTGCCGTTAATCCACTTAGTCATTTGGCAATATGAAGATCTTGGTTAGTGACTATGGGTTAGGGGTGCAAATGAGTCTAGTTGAGCTTGAGTTAGGCGTAACTGGAGCTCGACTCGCGAGCTAAATTCTGAGCTCAAACTCGGCTCGTGCCACTAAAAACTAGCTCGTCAAGCTGCTCGATTCCGCGATTCTAGCTTGTCGTTCGCATTCAAGCCTGCGTCGCTATTCCGCCTTCTGCTTCGTCGTCCGCAATTTCACGATTCCAATTCTGCACTCGAACTCGACGAGTAATCGAGCCGAGCATCCTAAGGATCAAACTCGAGCTCGATAATCCAACAAACTTGAAATCTGCTCAAACTCGAGCTCAAAACTCGATAAGCTCGACCCGCAAGTTTGTTCACGAATCGAGCTCGAGCTGGCTCACTAGTTGGTTTTACTCGATTGCACCCCTAGTCCGTACTATGGGTTAACACATTCAAGAGAACCTTATAGATCAAGGGTGGAGATTTAGTCCTAAATTGACAGACAAGAATTACACCTCATTATCATATGAGGGAGAAACTCATATTGGGTTTATAGTAACGATAGATGGTACATACCAGTGTTGCCAAGGGTACATATGCTCTAAGGCTAAGGGGTAGGAAAGAATGGTATCTTCTCCAAGTGGTGAAGAGGGCACCAAAGATGAGGCTTATAACAATTATGCATGATAATATCTTCTTAATATCCTAGAATTGATTGGGTAAATATGAAGTTATGAACATCTCCTCAATATGGTAGATAAGACATCCAAGGAGGAAGGCTTATGGCTATCTATGCTTTAAGGCTAAGGGGTAGGAAAGAGTGGTATCTTCTCCATCTTTAGAATTCAAAGCTGGTATTTTGATCACGAAGAAACATCAGAAGCCCTAATATGCGCCAAAAAAAGTATACTAGTAGAAAAGATTATGGGCAGGGATTGGATCGTAGGGTGGACCCGCTTTGCTTTATGTCAATTTCTCTCCTTGGAGAGTGTGAGCGTGACAAAGAGGGATGCCATGCTCGAAATTGGCGAGCAAAAATGAGAGCGAGATGAAAAAGGTGAGGTGATATTGAACAACATCATTTACCTGTTAATGAGGCGCGAAATGAGTACAATTGTGAGCACAAAGAGGGCCTCGAACTCACCGCTGTGCTTGGAATGCGGTCGATCAGCTCGCCCGCCAAGTTATTCAATCCGCTCATCACACAGCGCCTTGCCGTAGGTCACATGTTGTGTGACGCCATCGAAGTCGCTGCTGTGGAATGCTTGAATCGCCGAAGGACGCGAAATTGCTGCATTTCTCCCCGACGCCACGAGCATCCAAATTTGAAAATCACCTCCCATTCGCACTTCTCCCGACGCCAGCATTGGCATCCAACGCAGAATAAACTACGCTGATGAAGAAATGAGATGCTTCCCACGGGCTTCTCTCTTTTTCTCTCACGTGATTTCCTTTTTCACTCAAAACGGGCAGGTTTCTTTTACGTGGAAAATGAGCTGCAACATGGGGTTTGGAATACATCAAGATTTTATTTTACTTTACATTGTGTCCAACCAAACACCAAAAAGTAAAAAGATAATGCATTTGGTTTACTTTGCATTCAGTTTTAGTCCAATCAAGCAACCCGTAAGTTTTAACTATAATTTTTATGTTTACATGTGAAGAAAGTAAGTTTTTGGCCTATTTAATCGCTTTTGATATGTAAATTTTAAGTTTCATTTTTTAAAAATAATTTACTAGACCACATCATTCATTCTAGTTGTATTTGAAAACCTTAATCCCTAAACCATCCTGCATCATGAGGAAGAGAAGATGTAGGTTTGGCCGTGATGGGTAAGAGCTTGAGCATGTGAGGGTCGTGGTTTTAAATTTTTTATCCGTTGAGTTTAAGATTATGCATTTAAGCCCAAATACGTTTTATATTAACAAGTGTATTTTATTTTATTTTATTAATTGAAATATTATATTTTAACAAGTGATATTTGTATAAGTTGATAAAATATTGTCAAATACTTGTGTTTGGGTGTTGTTGGGGTACTTAGGCTAGTGCCAACATTAACGGATCAACCAACTGTATACTCTATCTACTTCAGGCGAATTGGATATCCTACTAGTGAGAACAAGCGCCATCCGTAATATAACATGCATCTGGCCTTAAAAATAGGATTTTTCATTGCTGCATATTCCATTTTGTGCTCAAAGGGATATGGATTTCAAAATGTTTCAAAGAAAAATGGAGTGAGATGTAATGTTGTTATTTTACATCCGTAAACCCTAAACCCTAATGATATTGTGGCACTAGAACATGTGCTAATTCTAGGTGCTTTTCTTCTCCTTCTGGATTAATGCTTTGTGTGATTTTACTCAAATTAGTCTCCTTGTTGATTTGATTAACGTGGTTTCTTTCCTTTTGTTTCATGTTCAACATGTCAAAACATATTCTCTATCGATTTTCTTAGAACATCTGCCATCATTATGACATTTCAGTTGACCCTTGTGACCATATATGGAGTTTTATGGTTATTCACTTTTTTGATTGAGGAGGTTTGGCTTTGGCGTATATTTTTCACTAGTGAGCAGTTCTAGTCCTTCATTTACATATATATATATTTTTTTTGTTGAATGACTGTTTGCTCATATTCATTAACCGAATGTTCTGACTTGAGCTTCATTTTTTTACCATTGTTATCATGTAATTATACCGTTAGACGGGCAAGCTTGGTGACAAAAGCTAAAGAAAGCAGCTGAAAGAATGGTTTTGATTTGGATGCTTCGTTTCTGTTCAATTGTCAAGATATAAAGTGCAATTGTCTTAACGCTTATTAGATAGTATGCATCTAGATGAAAAGAATTGTGCAATTTGATTCAGGTTGGAAAGCTTATTCTTTCAATATACTGCTGGCTTTTGTGACAAGTTAGAAGTGTTACATAACTTGAATAGTGTTCACAAGGCAAGCAGGTATGCGAGACTAGGATGGTTTATTTTTATTCAAATATCAATATATAAAATGGAAGCGTTCGGCACCCCATCAAACATGAAAAGTGTTTAAACATCTGTTGGGAGATGGGAAGATTATTCTATCAATAGATTGCTAGCTTTAGTTAAAGTGGGGCATTAGTCGAATGGTGCATGAGACAAAGTCTTTTTTTGATTGAAAGAGCACTAGTTAAATAATTTTAAAATTTTGACCTTCTAGCGACAAATTTTCCATTTATTTCATTTTAACGCTTTAATTTATTTTTTTGAATCAGGTAACTGGGAGCTCAAGCCCTACAGAGAAACTGATACAACCATCGGTTCCAGTTCAAGTAATCCAGATATTTATAGCAATGATAGTGATGGATACGTGGCAATATTTTGTGCATCGTTACATGCATCAAAACAAGTTTCTGTATCGTCACATACACTCTCAACATCACAAGCTGGTTGTTCCTTATGCAATCGGAGCCCTTTACAACCATCCCCTTGAAGGTCTCCTTCTGGACACATTTGGGGGTGCCATTTCCTTCTTGATCTCTGGCATGACTGCGCAAACAGCAGTTTTCTTCTTTTGCTTCGCGGTGATGAAGACTGTTGACGATCACTGTGGGCTTTGGCTACCTGGCAACATTTTTCACATTTTCTTCCAAAACAATACAGCTTATCATGACGTCCACCATCAGCTTCAGGGGGCAAAGTATAACTACTCTCAGCCTTTCTTTTCAATATGGGATAGAGTAATGGGAACCTACATGCCCTATAGGTTAGTCAACCGGGAAGAAGGTGGTTTTGAGGTCAGACAATTGAAGAGTTAGATTTAAAGCCGTAATCATCAGTGTAAGAGGGGGTAATGCAGGCAGGGTCGTCTATGATCAAAGAACTGAATATATATGGTAGAAGAATTACCCTGCCATTAGTCTGATGATGTTTATATGGATGGAATCGTGGGTTTTTCCTTTCTCCATAAATTGCTTCTCTAGTCTTTTACTCTATAGTCTGCTGTATTAGAATGGTTTGACGACTGTTGTAGAAAGAATCTTGTTATTATTAAATCTGAATATTATTGATCTGTAGAGTTTTGGATTTCATCAAGTTTTTCTGATGCACCTTGCAGTTGCAGATACTGCTGTGTATTGGACTGGATTTGTTTTTTCATTTTGTCTCTCATTCCTCTGGTTAAATGCATGCACGCTTTTGTTTTAGTTATAAGTGTTTCAATGAAAACAATAACTGGCCCCTATTATTTGAAAAAAAAAAAAACAGTGTTTTTCCATTATGAGATAGCTGCTGTGCTTATTAACATTTATATTCATAAGAGTAGTACAAAGTTATGCTCTGTGTAACTTCTAATAATAGCGGCTTTACAGAACAGGGTCGCCAAGGTATTTTGCCACATCCAATGCCTAGACTGTATATTAGATTATTTGAATGATTAGGATTTTATTTAGAACAGTTTGCTAACTGTTTTTTTGCTACATCTAATTTTTTAAACTCACTCATGCTTATTAGCTTAGCTGGTAGACGATTATGATTGGAAACCTCTTAACCCGTATTCGATTTTCCTCGAGTGATTGCGCTTTTTAAATGGAACTCAATCAAGTGTGAGCCAGAAAGTTTTTGGAGTGGGTGTTAACCAAAGAGTAGTCACATCGCCAAATGGTTTTTCAAGGGTGATAGCACATGGATATCTTGTTTCCAAATTAATAATAATAAAAATAATAATTTTTTAATAAAATCATTAAAATTTTTATAATAAAAATTTGTTTGAAGTGCTAAAAAAGCTTTCTTAAACAAAGCCTAAGTTCATTCTCAAAAATTGTCTCATTTACTTTGATGGCTCTGGCTCTCTCTCTTGCAGCAAAATTATTTAAAATTAATATTTGAATTGTCATTCTCTTTGAGAATTTTGAATAAACTTGATTACTAAAATGCATGAATGAAAATAAACTTGAAAAATTAAGTCATTTGACGATGCAGATTTTTTTTTAATTTAATCTAAAAAAATGATAAAATTTTATTCAGATGTGCTTTCTTGTTATAAATATAATTAGTAATGTGATTTTGAGTTTAACGCGAAAATACAAAGAAACTTGGACGGAGAATAATAACTTGTCTTGGTGAATAAAAAGCTCATCTCAACATGATCCTTGGACATAAAAAGGGATAGCGTGCGAGCAAAATAAAAGGAAAATTTATAGTAAAAGATAAAAATAAGCATAAACCATTCCAAACAAAATCTTTAGAGTACAAGTTCCAACCAGCGGACAATCACATAACTGATGAGAGGCAGCAATTGACATCACACAAAAACACTACACTTATTGTCTACATTTCCAATCATCAATACACAAATGTAGCTTACAGACATGAAGACTTCAGCAGAGGGAGAGACTTATTCCATCACTTTGCAGACCAAAATAAAATATAAAGGACACTCCAACAAATGCAATCCACACTCACTTAATTACCCACACAAATAATAATTATAAGTAAACCTATTTACAGCTCATAATAAATCAAACAAATATATATATATATAGGATAGGTATATAGAAGACAGCAATCCTATATACCTGCACTCCACACTTTTATAATAACAAGGTGGAAATATCGCAGTTGAAAACAAACATAGAAAACTGATGCAGATTATCATCACTAATTGGAAGGGAGCCATTGACCTAAAAATCTCAATACGGATCAATGAGGCAAGAGGTTGAGAGCACATACTAAGATGGTCATAGGCTATTAAGAAGAACTCTTTTGCATGAATGTGAATTGCTTGAATTGGGCCGAGGATCTCTTTTGCAAGAAGATGTTTGGTTTCTATTTGAGGATGGCTTTGATGAAGGCACTCTCAAGACGCTTAACAGAAATTTTCTCTCCTGAAAATTTAAAAAAGTATCACTCAAAATTAGTTTCATCAATAATCAATTTTTTTTTTATCACTAAAAAAGAAAACAATAAAGTGAGTTCGAAATAATAAAAAAGGACCAGTAAATAGTAGTCAATTAGTGAAATGTTTTAGATAAATGCTTAGCAACATTTAGGAAATTTTTAGATAATCAAGTTTTTTTTATCTTAAATTTCATTCTAAATTGTACTAATTGCAGGTTGGTGAAATATCAAAGGGGATTCAACAATGCCTCGAATGCTCTCTCTAAGATTTTGATATCTATATTTGTAAATTTTATATCTACATTCTACGATTTAAACAGCTAGTAGAGCAACAAACACATAACGTGCAAAAAAAATTATGTTCCCAATATTGCGACATGTGAATTAGTGACATCTCCATTCCCATTGTTGACTTAGTTTTAACGCTACAAATCACTAACATTAGGTGACAAAGAGATAATATTAAATGAAGCCTGCCTAGGATTCCGAGAACAAGGAAACTCTAACTGATATTTGCACAACCTTAATGTTTAGTATTTCAAAACTTACACTAGATGAAAATTCTGGACTAGGAATCCCCTCTGTGAAAGAATGAAAAAGTGGGATGGTTTTAAGAGGGGAGTTGAATTCTGAAATCGATGAGACAAGTATGTTTTCACCACTCTGAGCGAGCTCTAGAGAAGAAGTCATGGCTCCACCTGGAAAAGAAACTATTCATGCAAGCCCTTCATAATTCTTCTAATAAAACCTCTGGATATAATTTTAACATGATCAGATACCTTGGCAAACAAATTTAACTGGAGCAGGGGTGCCCTGATGAGTTTGCCCTTCATTGCAACCTACAGAACAATGTTCGAGCAGATGTTCATCCATGTTAATTGCCGGATCATCATGAGTACACCCAGTGCTCATAACAGAACTAGTCTGACAGCCATCTTGATCAGCATCCCTGTTCAATAGGCCATCTATTTACTACAAAATGAAGAAACAAAATAACTTAATTCTCAAGGTATATCAATGCATATTGCCTCCTTGATAGCTGAAGTTCTGTATCCACGCATTGGAAATCCTTGAACACTCCTTCGAAGTCATCCAACAGGAAATCCATTCCAGAAAAACTACTCAATGTTCCTTCTTCCCGATTCTGGATCAAATAATTCTGAAGTTCCTTAATAACCAAATGTGACAAAACAATTTTTTAGCTCGCAGTGCTAAAAAGTATATACATAAAAGAAAAACAAAGAAAAAGGAAAATTATAGAAGTGAGTTTTGTCAAAAAACTAAGTACCTTCCAAGAATCATCGGGACTCTGGTTTTTGTTTTCAGAGTATGCTTTAACAGCTAGAGAGCTGAGTAATTCAGCTTGTTGCAACAAAACAGTCAATTTTGGATCATCTCTTCTAAGGAAATTGCCCTGGACCTCACAATTTGCAATTGCTTCAACGGCAAGTGATGCATTTCTCAGTAAACTTCTAAGAGTAAAATCAAGCAAAAAAATGATGAAACAAGGACAGCAGATTCTATGATTACTTACTATCACATGCTGTAGGCTTACTGCTATCGAGATGACATTGTGCTGATAAACATCTCAGGTTATTAAAGTTTTGAGTAAGAACTGTCAAAGGTGGCCTTGACCGTCCACCACTAATACCATGGGTTGTTGCTAATTTTTCATAGGAACTGAAGTCTTCTGCATTGTCCGAGCTGCCAGACCTACAGTGCAGAAATAAAATGCATAGTTGCAGTAACTCTGCTTGTTTGCTAGATTTTGAACATACCCAGTCTGTTGCTTATTTGCTGAAGGTTCCACCATGATTTTCTTATTGCTAGGGTGTGTACAAGAATCATTATTTTCCTTGGATATTGTATGATGCTTTGCTCTCTTTTTGCAAAGGGTAGAGAAACGGTTCTTCACTGCATTATCTGTTCTGCAGGAAGACAGCAACAAAACATTAATATTATCCTTCTTCTTCGGTAAAGATAAAGCATTATTGTTGTACACAGCTGTCTCCATTACCTTCCTGCAACCACCTTTGCAATCTCAGTCCATCGGTTCCCAAATATCTTCTGAGCCTGCACATCAACTTAGAACTCCAGCATCAGAAATTAAATTCTTCATTTTAAAAAAAGAACATGTGGTGCTACTTCATAAAATTTAGTTTTTAAGCATATGATTAATCTATAAATAATATAAGGGGTTGTTTGTTTTCAAGTTACAGAAAGGGGTTACAGACTTACAGGGAATTTAATGTATAGCCACTCAAAGAAAAATTTTTTTTTTTTTTCAATTTAAGTCAAGTGGCACCAAAACAAGAAAAAATGCATGGTCACTATCTTGATCAAATTCCAAATTAACTGAACATTCTCGATTTATATATTAGCCGAGCAGCTGAAGATAATGAAGAATATAGTCCGGGTTTGTGATTAAGCATCTGCATGCATTTCGTAAATTCAACATTTGATCATGGCCACCCTAATTCCGGAATTCTAAAGTGTCCCATTTCTGAAATAACATAAATAACCAATAGGTTGAAATAAAATTTAGAATCGGCAATCAATGCTACAATAAATTCTTACCTCGCATAAGAGCATGTCCTCTTCCTGCGACCATCCACCTTTCTTGCACTCCGTGTTCAAGTATGTAAGCCATCTGCAAACAACCATTATCCTTATAACACTGTTAGATAAAACCTAGAAATTAAAAAAAGAACGGAATCCTAGAGAGAGAGAGAGAGAGAGAGAGAGAGAGAGAGAGAGAGAGAGAGAGAGAGAGGAACAAATGTCTCGCCTTCTCCTGCACTGCCTGCCAGTCTTATCATTGAAATTTGCTGCAATAATAGTCCAGCTGAAAAGAAAGGTTCAAAGATCATCATATGAATTCATCCCGACAACAAACTGTCAAAAGAGGGCCGAGGAACAGAGAACTACTCACTTATCGGAGCCATGAACAGCGACTTGCTCCCGAAGCAGATCGTCCTCCTAGGGAACGAAAAGAAAACTAATTTTGATAGCGCAAGAAAGAAAGAAGTCGAAGAAATGATGTAAGGAAAGGTGCGTGAAACCTCTTGAGTCCAGGAGACCATGTGGCGATCCTTCTTCGCCTGAGTAGCCGCAACCATCGCATAGTCGGAGCTCATCTCTCATCGCCAGTCCGGGCGCATTGAGTAACATTCATACTTGGATTCGAAGAAGAGATTGGAGGGCAATATATAAATATTTATATGTATTAAAAAAAAAAAGACCGTTCTGATTAGGGTTTTGGATGGGCGCGAAAAATGTGAGTTTTGAAATGTGTGGAGAGAAGTGTTTGTGTGAAAGTAGATTGATAATTGATAATGAAGCGAAGGAGGAGAAGGAAGGAATGAAGAAGAGGCGGAAGAATTTAATCGGCCGCGGTAAACTTGTCACTCTCCGTGATCGGCCTCCCATTTTTCATCCGCACCAACCAATTTCACTCATTTCGATTTAATTTTTTACTCTTTCTTTGTAAATTGTTGGGACCGCTCGTGACTGTGAAGCCGCTCTCTCCCTAGTGGCTGGCCTACTCCACAATCTTATAGAAATTTTTTAATATTAATATATTTTTTTAAGTTGACCACAGATCATAAATTTAAAATTAAAAATAATATAAAATCAAAATATTTTAAAAAACTATTGATCTAAATAAGTTTAGAATTATAGGAATTTAGTCAACAAATGCCGTTCTAATGAAGACCCCCCAAATCACAATATTTCAAATATTCAAATTAATAATAATAATAATAATAATAGCGGGGATGACATCAGCTATTGGTTTGATTTTGTCCAAAAAGAGTGCGATTGGACGGATTTTTATTTTAAGTTTTAATTTGCATTGTCTATTACTTTAAGATTATAATTTTAATTATTAGAAATTTTCTATGGGACTTTTTTTTTTAAGAAAAAATATTAAATACTCAAAACATATATTTTTATCAGAGTTCTAAATATGTTAAGATTATAATTTTAATTATTAGAAATTTTCTATGGGACTTTTTTTCAAGAAAAAAATAAAATACTAAAAACAATATATTTTTATTAGAGTTCTAAATATTTCCTTTAAATATGATCCACTTTTGTATGTATATTGAAATCAAAATATTATAATAAAATTTTGATTAGTATTAACCTCAAAATTATTAAGATTATTTGAGATGAATGAAACACGAGAAATTGGTCAAATTTTATATTACATATGTTGCGGGCTAGAATATACGCGGCGATAGAGTTAGAAAATTTCCATCTTAACGTTGTACGGATATCCCGCATACAAACATGAGAGAAATAGAAGCACCATAATTTTTACGTGAAAATCCTAGAAAGGGAAAAAACTACGGGGTCACGCGGAGTTGAAAAAGTTCCACTAGTATTTGCTTGAGATACAAAAGGTTGACTTGTCCGTAAAAGTTTGGACGATCAAATTACAATGAATCACTTCTAGATTGAAATTCAATTACAACGTCGGGCAGAGTTCCGACGTCACTTGGAGATCGAGCAGAATTCCGATGTCGTTCGGAAATCGAGCATAATTCCGGCATCGTTCGAAAATCGGGCAGATTCCGGCGGCGGTGGTTGAGGAGGAGTTTCTTCCCTCATAATATTCTTCTCTTCTCTTCTCCTTCTTCTCTTCTTCTTCTTTCTTTCTAAAATTTGAGGCCTTCCGTTATTTTTTAGTATGTGACTTTCCCCCATTTTTCTTCTCACTCTACAGGCTTTCCTTCTTTCTCCCCCATTTTTCTTCTCGCTTTAGAGGCTTTCCGCTATATATCTTTCGCAGATGAATTTTCCTATTTAAATTTAGCATCCCTCTTTAGTATAAAAGTTGAAATGGAGGAATGTGAGGTTGCCGAGTTGTGGGCAAAGGATGGGTAGAACTTACTGTATCGACAACGTGATTGTGGATGTCTTCTTGGCGGAGGAAGATGAATCTATGCTTGAAGATGTTCGAGTTGGACATCTTCGACTAGTGGTGGAGCTCGAGGGAGAAGAACCTCCTCTTTTTGTGGTAATCCTGGCTGTCGAGTCTCTCACAGGAGTTGAAGGATCTCGTTCTGAGATTCTTCTATCTTTCGAATTATCTCTTCTAAAAAAGTTTTAGAGGTTCCTTCTCCAACAGCATTTTGCTCTCCAGGATAAAAAGAGGCAGATATCAGGCATCTATGATTCATAGATTGATTTTTAGATTGGTGGGAGTTGGAGCGAGAAGTCCCAACGATATGAATGATATGCTTGTTGACCATCGTAGCAACACTTGAAATTATGGGATAATTTTTCCCACAGACGGCGCTAATTTATTGCAGGCTAAAATATACGCGGCAATAGAGTTAAAAAATTTCCGTCTTAGGGTTGTATAGATATCAGGCAAACAAACATGAGAGAAATAGAAACACCAAGATTTTTATGTGAAAACCCTAGAAAGGGAAAAATCACGGGGCCACGCCTAGTTGAAAAAATTCCACTAGTGTTTGCTTGAGATACAAAAGACTGACTCATTCCTAAAAGTTGGACGATCAGACTACAATGAATCATTTCTAGATTGAAATTCAATTACAATGTTGTGCAGAGTTCTGGCGTCACTTGGAGATCGAGCTGAATTCTGGCATCATTCGAAAAATTGAGCATAATTTCGGTGTCATTCAGAAATCGAGCATAATTCCGGCGTCCTTCGGAATTCAAGCATAATTCCGGCGGCGGTACGTGGTTGAGGAGTTTCTTCCATCATAATCTTCTTCTCTCCTCTTCTCCTTCTTCTCTTCTTCTTCTTGCTTGGGCCCCTCTCAAGAGAAATGAGGGATTTATTTATAGATTTTATGGAGTGGCATGGCCCGTAAATAGGCGAGAGATCAGAGGTAAATGAGGAGTGGTTGGATGGATGGCCGATATTGAATCTCTTGATCGTGTATCGTTCGTTAAACATTTGAAGGTCTTAATGATTTTGGAATTCAGCGATCTTGGGCTCATTGGATTTGTCTCGTCGAGCCGCTCGATTCGACCATAAGTTCTTCATGTTTGAAAGCCGTTTGGTAACTCAAATTGTGGTACGAACTTTCCAACAATGCTTTGAGTCCTTGATTTGGACTCATTTGGGCTCGGATTGAGTCGAATTTGATTCCGAGACGCTCAGTTTGACTGTAAGTTTACTGAAATCGGAGTTCAGGTGATCCCATATTTAATTTTTCAAGTTTTCGGCTTAATTTTGCCTTGAGATTTGTGCCTGATCAAGATAATTTTTTTGATGATATATCAACATATATCTTAAGATAAATTTTAAGATGATAATATTTTGAACTACTTTTTTTAAGATAAATTAATCAAAATTTAGATTACATATATCTAAAATAGCATCAACACAAATTAATATGATGACGCGTAGATATTTGTACTATAAAAGCAATAAACTTTAGAGCATAAGTAGTTAATATCATGTGGTATATTTTGATTAATGCATTTTTCCCCTTCTTACAGATGCAAACTTTGATAAGCCGTGCACAGATGGATTCATTAATATCATATTATAATCCGCTGGTCTATTACTGTTATATATGACAATTCCCATGTTCAAATTATTACAAATACAAACCAAACCACACAATATACCCGTCTTTTATCTCTCGCCACCCATCGCGACAATATAAAGGTCGAGCAACGGAGAGTAATGGTTCATTGATTCTGGCTTCTCAGTGCAAACTGCTCATAGCAGAAGCCTTGAAGTTCTTCGTTGAGAGCCTGGGAAGTACAAATAAACCAACAATACCGCACACGAAGGCAAACACTGAAGCAACAGCAAATGCAGGCATGTTCCCCTTCTTGAAGATCCCATCCCATGGACCAGCTCCAAGTGCAATTACCACCTGTTGATTTTGAAAACCATTATTACTAAATTATTACAAACAATGCTGCTTCTAATTTTTTGGTCAGACAATTAACCTGTGGTATAACAATAGATATATTAAGTACTCCTGTACACAGTCCTGCAATCAAGTTCACATTAACTCAAAGTTACAGATTTAAAACACTACAAGATGATTATGAATTCAAGATAGATGAACAAACCTTGACCACCTCCTTCGTTAGCAGCTAATTGTGCCGTGACTGCAAATGGCACGCTGTACAGAACCTGCGCACATATTCATACTCTTAGCTAATGATCAGTACTAAATAGTTTACTAATCAGGATCCGTTTGAGACAGCTAAAGTAATTGTTGTATGAATCTATATAGAAAGTCGAGTTTTGTAAAAAAAAAAAAAATTGCAATAATTTTCTTATAATTATCATACTATAATAGGATAAGTTGTCATAAACGAAGGCTAATTCTGAAAACCGAGCTGTAATGGTGAGGATACTAACTGCTAAAGGAGCGCCCAGAACCGCGAAGACGACCAAGGCAACAGCCTTGACGCTACCGTCTGGAGAGATGATAGCATCATGAATGCTGCCATGGTAGCTGTGCACAGACCAGCTGCTGATGATGGCGGTGGCGGCCATGCATATAAACATGCAGAAGTTGCACATAACCCACACTATTCTTGTTGTGAATTTTCGACACAATGGCTCTATCAAAATTGAGGTCACTCCAAGAACCACCTAACAATTTAAACTTTAATTAATAAGATGATCGATAAATTAATTTTGCAAATTCAAAATCATAAATCCACTAACAGAGTTTATGAGCAAGCCTAATGCGCCTGCTCTGACTCCATTATCATAAGCTTTCATCTGAGCTGGAGTTCCCTTTGGATCTCCATGGAATATTTCTCGGCCCATCCAATCTGTATCGTAGAGGTTGAATGGAAACCATGACAGCTGTGAAGTTAATTTCAGGTGATTAATTAGTAGCTAGCTTGCAAGAGAGGTTGATGCATGTGGAGAATTAATATATTTTTTGTAATTAATTATTGCTAATTGGAAGCTGATTAGTTAATTACCCAGGTGAGGGAAGTGACTAGAAGAATATAAGGCATTTTTGGTGGAAGATTCTTGATAGTTCTGAAGATTTCCATTATGCCAACCCTTTCTTCTACTGTAGATGGAGCTACTTCTTCTCTACCAGCAATCGAAGTCACGAGTACACTTAGCAGAAGAAAGACCTGTTGAAAGACACAAATTCAAACCACTAAAAGTTCTTTGCATATTAGTTAATTAATTAATGACTGTTTTTTCTTTATGGTCTGGAGCCTAATTAACGCACGTCTGTCTTATGCAAATTAATAATAATTCTTCTCTTTGACCTGGTATAAGGGGCTAAAGATGTACAATATTTACTAATTATTTTAGTGATGCATTTTTATTTTATTCGAGGATTAGAATTAGATCAATAACTAATTCAGAAGATAAATAGATTAATGAAGGAGAAGGGGGGTACCACAGCAACTAAAAATGCTCCTTTCAAATTTGCACAAGCTTCACAGCAGGCTCTGTTAGAAAGGAACGGAAACCACCTGCATGCCTCAATTAAGAATATAATTAGTACGTGTTTAATCAGAAAATTAATTAATGATAGCGTGCATTAGGGTTAAGAGAAGTTAAATTATTACATAGAAATGCAAATAAAAATTGAATAAAAAACGTACTCGTGCCACTTTCCACTTGCACCAGAAGAATAGCCTAAGATGTTCCCGATGGCCATCCATGAGGCAAATATTGCATTTGCTTTACTGCATCCATGAGTCCCTGTAACTGTAATTATACTCATTTCTTTATTATGTATATTTAATTTGTCATTAAAAAGTATTTTTTCAAAACTGTAAAAGCATTTTGCCATTTTATTTCAAGAATAATAATTTTTGTAGAGTCATTTTAATATTTTATTTATAGTGTAAAATCATTGCCATATTATTTTATATATGTAAATTAATGTCTTTGTCATTTATAATAATATTTAGCAGCACACTTTTTTCACTACCAAGGAATTCTTTGGTCCCTTTTTTTCCCAGTTATTTTCCTTTCCTTTTTTATAGTTTCAAAGAAAAATAATAATATATATATATAGCTTCTCAAAAATCAATTTTAAGAGACCTAGCTTGTGCGTTGTGAAAATAAGATTACAGTAAGCTTACCAGACAGATCAGCCATGAGGGCTCGAGTTGGACCCTGGACAACAAATATATAAAAAATAGAAATTAATTAATCGATCAAAAAATAATCATAATTAAGGTTGGTATATTAAATTATAATCAAATCAAATGATATCTGATCAACTCTAGACATTGAAAGAAATCAAACACAGAGGCTGACATATTAAAAACACTAAAATTAATCTGAATAATATTAAATGAAATAGCCCTTTAATTAAATCACCTGAACTGTATTATTTGATAGATCGAGCAGCCAAAATCCGGCGACGTAGACTATTGCAGCCCTCCACCGTGGGCCGTGGTAAATGCTATATATTTCAATCGCAATTAGTAAAAATAATATATAGTCGCTTACTTACTCAATTGTGTATATATCACATAGAAGCATATATATTTATGTAATAAGAAATTAATAATATATATATATAAATAAAATACCTGCAATCTTCCTTGGTATCGCCTAACTTGTATCCAATGTCAGAAGAGAAGGCAATTACAATCACCTACCAATTTTTTTTTATTTAGATATATATAGATTTCTTAACTAATTAATCGTTTAATTAAGCATATATACTCACTGCAAAACAAATAAAGATGCAACCGACGAGTATGAATGGTCTTCTCCTTCCAAATCTTGAACGGCATCGATCGCTCCATAAACCAACGCATGGTTGAACCTGACAAATTGGGCAAGCTAATTAATATATTAAGATATACATAGCTCATAAATTTTTTTAAAAATCATTTCAATCACATTTTAATTATGAGCTAGATGTGATGATTTTATTTCGAATAAACATATATATTATTGCTTACAACAAAGCCAGCTACAGGGCCGCATAGCCATATCAAAGAAGATAAAGTATGAGACAGTCCCAGCGTCTGCACCAAATATAAATCATCATTAAAAACATTAATTAACGTAAAGTACTTGTACATATATCAAAATAATCAGAAATATTATTCTATTAATTAGAATGTTAATAAAGCCATTATTTTCATTAATTGGACGTCAAACTACTTCGAAAGTGTCATATTACAATTAATAATTACCATACTGTCATAATTATCATTAACTGACTATATTTTAAAATTCATCTGACTATATTTTAGTTCTCTGAAAATAATAGATATTTTTAAATATTATCTATAATTATTTCATTTATTGGCTAACATTTAAATATTTGAAATGAATGATCTTATAATCTTATATGTATAAATTATTATATAAAATAATTTGTGTGGCTTAAAAATAAAATAAAATTAAAGAGTAGAAATAATTGATAATATAATGCATGGAAATGCTTATATTGGAAAAGTATAGCAAAGGTGGACCTGGACGTAGGGAGTGAGCAGCGATAGCTGAAGCGCCCATCCGTACTGTACTCCCCCAGCCACCATGCAGGAGAAGATCAGCCTCACTAGGCTTATCTGTTTTCCCGCCGCCGCGGCCGCCGCCGCCGCCTTGTATTCCAACTTGGCCATTGCCTCTCCACCTCCGGCGAGCACCTCTCTCTCCATGATCCCTGGATCGGACGATCGTTCTCTTTCTCTGTTTTTTCCTTATTATTACTCGCACTCAACTCAGAAATGTCATATATACATACATATATGGAGTGATAGATCGATATGGAGCATATATATAGATATACAGTACAGATATGGTACTGGCCGATCAGGCCAATGGAGTCCATAGCACCTTTTTCAAAAGTCAATGTCTTGCGTGGCAGCGGACCCTACATGCGGATTTAGAATTCGATCTTATCCATTAAATTAAATGTCGCTCGCCATTCCCATTTCCCAGAACGTGTTTCTCTGCCTTCGGAACGTACGAGCCTTCATAGGATTAGGGGCACTATTACTATTTATCCATCTTATCCTTATTGTTAATTAGAGTTTGAATGACTTGCTCTTCCTTCCTTTGCAAATTTCCCAAGCTCCAAAACGCGCGTAATCCGGTTTAAGAAGAATTCCATTTTTCGGCTTTGAAGTATCTAAAATTAAATGGAGTTATGAGGAAAATGACAAAGCCCTTTTTTCCTCCTCAGGCAGTTACGCTTGTATTACTAAATACTGAATATAATAATGTTCTCTTTAATGATTTTTTGGAGTTAAATGATACAAATTAAACTAATTAAAAAAATCCAAAAAATTACACAAGCACTATGGATTTGATCAATTTAGTTTCTCCTCAGGCAAAAGAAAATTCCTCTACCAATTTGTGACGTCGTTGCATCTAAATTTTTGTATTGCTTAATTTGTATAACTTCACAATGTTCTTCATTACAGCCATAATAACTTAATAATTAAGAACTAATCAGTAATTAGCAAACTAGCAAAGCACCCAGCCAACTGTACAACATAATCAAAAGAATAGCAGAGAACAAACCACAAATGCTGAAGCCCGCCACTCACAAGGCAGAATGTTAAGTGAATGAAAGGCATGAAACTGTTGGATAGTAGGTCCACAACAGGCAAACATAACGGAGCAAAAAATATATAGAAGAAAGCTGGACCACTCTACAGAAAATAATTGACAACTAAAAAAATTGAATATAAAATTGTATAACACAATAAAAAATGAAATTCCATAACCAACAGAGCAATATCCAATTGAAAAACAATATTCGGCTGCATAACACAGAGCAATATTTGGTTACATAACACAATCATTTCTAATATCACTCAAGGCTCAAGCTGAGGGCAACAAGTCCACTCAAACCTCAAGTCATATATCAACTGTATAACATAAATAATAAAAACTAACTGCACAAAACAATCAGCAGTCACTAGGTTCTTCATAATAGATAATATCAACAGTGGTTATAAGATATAAATTATATAAATGAGAATTTTCACACCATATATACTTAATGTTTGAGATGTTATATTCACCGAGTTATTCATGAATCTAATTTGATTTCCGTCAAAATCTAAGCCCATGATGTTATTTCTCACTACATTAAGCTTAGAGTCGTTTGTATCTATGACCAAAGCAGCAATATATGTTATAACAGACTTGATAAGTTAAGCTTAAGCTATAAGTTAGCCGTGTAGTATAATTGCCTTCTTCACCATACAACCAATCTTTAGTGCATACCAATGCTTCAACAATAGCATATTTCAAGCACTTTAATATTGGTTTAGAATTCTACCGCTATTGTTAAAGACACTTTTAGATGCCATAATATAGAGATTGGAATGCACAAAACATCATGAGCCATGCTCAAGACCTAAGGGAATCTGTACTAATTAACTTTTCAAAACTATAAAATATCGATCTAACTCATTATTCCTATCTAGCTTAGGTTCATCCAAATATATTTTAAGTTCCAACTTTCTTGGCATTAATGTTACCTCTATCTCAAAAGAGTCATAATACTATGCTGTGCCATGAGTTAATATATTATATGTTCAATCATAAATGAGTTTATGTTAAAGATCACATAATAGTCTGGACAGAAGAACAATAGAAAGGAAGCTATTATAAAATTTAAAGTGGAAAATTAGAACCTAAAGAAATTTTTATTTAATGATTTTTATTGATTGACTAGTTGAGAGAATCCTTTGTGAAGATTGAGATGTTTGAGATACAGTGCTTGATACTTGGTTATTTGTGGTTGAGTAATTTGAAAATAATGTGTATAACTTCTCTATAACTTTTGTAATTTCAGACGCATAATCAGCCACATATAGTTTCTTATAACACAATTCTAAAGAGTTAAATTTATACATTGGGTCAAGAGTTATAGCTATAGCTTGATCAATACTTCTCAAACTTGACGAATAGGCCAACAATCATCTTTTGATATACTCTTACCTAGGGGTGTCAATATTTGACACGACCCGAAAACCCGACCCGAACCCGACCCGAAAATTTCGGGTTAGGGTCAACCCTTTGACCCGAAATTGACCCGAAAGTGACCCGATTTTGACCCGAAAACCCGATTTTGACCCTCCAACCCGACTTTGACCCGATTTTGACTCGAAAAGAGGAGATTGACCCGTTTTTGACCCGAAAATTAGCAATTTTTTGGTTGAAAACGGGTCATTCGGGTCGGGTCGGGTTGACCCGGACCCGAAGCGGGTCGGGTTCGGGTCAAGGAAACCGACCCGTTTTTAAAAACGGGTCGGGTTCGGGTTGACCCGAATAGTGCCGGGTCAGTTTCGGGTTCGACCCGAACCCGACCCGTGACCCGAAATTGACACCCCTACTCTTACCTAGATTATATTTCATACTTTAATGTCACATATATAGCATAAACATAGGTAAAATAAAGATTTGTAGTTGGATACTTTGATCAAGAAAAGACACAAGTGATTTTATAGAAGGGTGCTAAACTTGCAGATGTTCACCATTTTCTCCTACTTAGAACTTAAAGGACAACACTTGTAGTTGGAATCATCCAACTCCAAATGCATGAAAGCACATTTGAAGTAAATTGCACTATCTATCATAACAAAAGTTGAATTCCATCATGTTGGAACCTCTTTCCTTAGGCCTCAGAAAACTTTGCCTGAAACATTAAATAAATTTTATTTTATTGATTAAGAGCTTTTAACATATTTAATGCTCTCACATACCTTCACAATGTAGAATCAATTTCCTTCAAACTTTTCTAAATAATAAGATTACCTACATATGCACAACATCTCATATGGAAGAATCCACCATTGCATTGAAGATCATTTTTTAAATTCAAATGATTTCGTAGAAAATCAACCGAAATTATATTTGCGGAAATATTGTACGTCTAGAGTAATATTGAAAAGCTTACTACATCCATTTAAGCAAAAACTATTGAAGTTTCTTAAACAAAGCAAACCCATCATGAGGGGGTGGTATGAAACCAAAATGTATAACCTTCTTCTGTAACTATCAATTATTGTCAATAAAATGTACAATCAAGCAAATTAAATCATGTGTTGATGGAAGTTCACAAATTAGAAGTTAAAGAAACCCGACTCTTACAACTAAATAGTAGAGCTTGTATTTGAATTTTTTTCCTTAATGAACATTTTCTTATAGTTATGTCGTGCAGTATTTTTAAATGCTAATTATAAATAAGGACGTAGGTAACGAAGTAATGCTCTAACACCGATCCATTCCACACACTAAAATGGTATATCATGCATAACTATACATGAAGTAAATAAGCTACAAAATTCGTGATAATCAAATTTATTTTCAACCATAAAAATAGATGCCATGAATTATTTTGAAGAATAAGTTGACCAATATCATCAGAGTCTATTTTCTTATAGTTTTGTAGGTGACATCTTAGATTTTTGTATCATTTTTATTATTACATAGGTAGGTTGCCCTATATTTCTTATATTTATAATGTTGTTTTCCATCATTTGCAAGTCGCAACAATTCAAAATATCCCCAGATAGTAGAGGCCAAACTACTTTTTCTTTTTTAAATTATTTCCTCATTTCTTAATGTAATAGTATCACCAATTTTTCCAGCATCCGTATTGTTATACTCATCACTATCAAATTCTACTTAATTATTAATAGGAATATTGTGCGCATTATGCTCATATGGATTATTTGTCACAACTATATTAGAATTCTCCATCTAAACATAAAATTGTTCATAAAAAAAAAAAGATATGAGAATCTCGATAATAGCAAAAACTGACATTATAGATATCTCAAATCTTCCATAAAATTTATTTCTAAATGTAGAACCATTCAACCATTTTTTTTTTGGAAACTCACAGAGGGGCCAACGCGTTAATTAATGACAAAAATTACACAGTTCTTAAAGGAAACAAAAGCTTACTAATGTTTATACAAGCTACAAAATTCAAAAGAAAAAAAAAAGCTAAAATCTTGAGTTTCCATATAAGCAAAAGTACACAGAAATCTAGATGCATTCTACGGTGCACAAGAATGAGCACCCAAAAAAGGAGAAGACCACAAAAGACTCTAATCCAGCTCCAACTCCAGCTAATAAATAGCAAAAATACCTGCACTGAAAAGAACTTATACAAAAGAGTGAAATAATTATACTGCAACCCAACATCCACCGAATACACTAGGAAAGCATAGCCCATAAAATACCAAAGATGGTTACCAGCCAAATTAACAATCCAAATAAAATAAGTCCAAATGCAACCATAAGCTAGATTCCTGGTATCATCAGAACCAATAAAGATATATAAAATCCCAAAAGGATTGGAAAGGTAAGCAGGAATAAGATAAAACCACCAGCAAATGATACAGGTACAGCGGGTTAAAAAACATTCAATACAACCAATAACAACTATCAAACTGGGCCAAATAATCGAGCTAGACAAACAACCACAGCAGAGAAAACCCACCCCAAAATAAAGCCAAAACCCAAGCAGAATCTCAACAACAAGGCCCCAATCCAACTAAAAAAGAAGGCC